TTGCAACACCCAGCTGCAGTTCACCCCATCGGTGACCAGCCGGAGAGCCTGTTGCATTTCGTGACGCTTTGGGCCACAATTTGTCATCAGTGAAGCCAGGGGGTGTCCCGAAATGAGTCAATAAACAGGAGTCCTGGGGTAGGGCATGAGGCAGAGGTCTCTCGCTCTCAGCTCACGGAGCTGCTCCCTCGCTGGTGGCCGTGTGGCTGTGGGCTGTGAGCCATGGGCCGAGGAAGGGCCGGGGCCTTTTGGCTGGAGCAGCGTGTCCCCACGACAGTGATGGTGGCCTGGGCCGGTCCCAGGAGCCTTGTGACCCTGTGTGCTGATGAAGTGAGGCAGCTAGAGAAACCTCAGTGCGGCTGCCTTGTGAGAACGGGGAGCACCCTCTTCTCCTCTCCAGATGGGGCAAATGCAGCTTTCACTTCGGGGTAAGAGAGCTTATGAGTAATTTAGGAAGTAGTGACTATAAACCACTTCATTTTAAATGTTGGGATAAAGTATTTTTTCGTATGTTTTCAAAGCTGCAGAAGAGCAGTGAGTTTTCAGTGAATGTCACAATGATCACATTGTCCCTCTGTCTTTAGGGAGATGTAGACCATATTTCAAAATAAAATACACAAGTGTAGAAAAAAATGGTAGCTGACCTTTAATTTCACATTAGAAACTGAAATTTTGGAGAGGTGGAATATGCTGTACTGATGAGGTGGTCACAGTGCAGTGAAAAAAACATGATTTATCAGCAGGATCCTGTAAGTACTCCGTAATGGTAGGTTAGGGCTGCTTGGGAGGCTTTGCTCTTCGCTTATACTTGGAGAATTGATTCAGGTACAAGCATTAAGTTGGGAGTATGTATAATCATGCATTTTTCTTCGGCTGCCTCTCCCACAGCAGATGCCCAGGCCCTTTTTGCTTCATCTAACTGAAGGCAGACAAGATAATTAGTTTTTCTCTTTACTTTTCCTCCTGGTTTTTATCAGTGCCATTGGCTGTCCTCAGCAGGATGTGGTGTTTCAGTTGAACCATGTAACAGTTATACAACATGGGGATTATCTTTCGTCCATTTTTGGGATTCCTTCTCTATAGATCTGCTCGGAGTGTGCTCAGCTTCTTGGGGGCTGGTTTGTTGTTCACAGAAGTCTGTGAATAATGCAAAATGACACATTTTGCCTTGACTGCAAGGTATTTTCTCAAGTGAGTCTAAAGACCAGCTGAAGCACCAGTTTGCCCCTGCTCTCCTTTGTATTCCCAAGGGACTCAAGCTTGTGCTGCTGTGCTGGCGATTTATTAATGTTAGCAGTGTCACATGCAGAAACAATCAATGGTGAGTGGGTTTCAAGTCTTGGTGTAGGAACTGCCAGAATCGATCAGCTTTTATACTGGAATGGTACCAAGGTGAACTGGTGCCATCAGAGAGTAGTCTGCAAGTCTATGAAAGCTTGCAAAGCCCGGCTGTTTGGCCAGTTACGATGGGATCTCCTATAAAAAAGGGCAGAACCCTGCAGTGTTTTTTCCCATTCTTCTGAGTGTGTCTTTGGGGAGAGGTTTCAAAGCCTTGCGTTCCTGTGGCAAGGAGCTGGGTAGGGTGTGCGATGACAGAAAACGAGACTTGGTGGAGAGCACGTCTGAGAAATGCAATTTGTCCTTCCTCTCATTTTCTTCTGAGATTTCTGTGTTGCTTCCTCTGGGAACTGGTGTTCTCCTGTGAAGGTGGGTGCTTGGTTTTCCCCAATGGTTTCTTGAATGAGAGATGTCTTGTTCTTTTAACAGAGGATTTTAGGCAGAAGGTTTGCATTTTGCTTTGCTGTTTGTGCCTGCTGGTGTGAGACTTTTCCCAGATCATGCTAAGACACGGGAGCTGTCAGGTCTTTCTCTGTCCTGAAGGCATGGCTAGGGTTGTCAGGTGATTGTATGATCATGATCAGATGATTTGGGAAAGAAGTATACTGAAACAGGATGTTTGTCTTGTTAAATGGTGTGCATCAGTTTAACTTCCAGATGCTTGGTAAGGCAGGAATGCGGACAGGAGGATAGAGTTTTAATCCAATTCTAAGACCTTGGCCTCTTTCTGGCATTGAGTTCACATCAAGCCAGGAGCATACTCTGAGGTCCCACCACCATCTCGGTGTCATCTCAAGAGTTTTGTTGAAGATTTTAGTCTTTTATAATTCTGGTATTTGGCTATTAATCTGATGAGCTGGTAAAACTGTGTATTTAAAATGAAAACTCCAGAAATGAAACTATGAGCACATACCCTCACTCTCTGTGGCAGATCCAGGTCAATTTGTCTGCCATAAGCAGGCAGCTCCTGTCTTCTCATCCCTGACACCTAAGCCTGATTCAGCAAGGTGATGTGGCTAAGCCCCTCTGATGTCTCCTTTCTTTCAGTAGGTTGTTTGTGCCCTGGGATGAGAGGAGAGACCCTTTAAGTGGGTGCAGGACAGCCCTTCGGCATGGGTGGGATGGGGCAATAAGTGCAGCCCTTAGCCGAGGAATGTCTGGATGGATTTGTGTGACTGTGCCCACAATGATGGCTCTGCAGCGAGTTAGAGCAAGTGTTTGAGCAGGAGCTTTCCAAGGGAAAGAAGGTGGTTGTGAAGGGTGATAGAACTTCCCCAAATCTTTGGCTCCCACGCCATAGTAAATATTGTGCTCTTACTGGGTTCAATAACATGGTGTATTTTTTCACAGGATGGATGTCTTACCTCTGCTTGGAGATTGCTGAGGCCTTTATGGGCTGCTTCCTTCAGGAAGCTGGGAAACACATGGTCTTGGACTATATCTTTGTGAATCGAAAGTGGACATTTTGGAGAGAAGGTCCTAAGGTGCAGGCAGTTTGGGCGCAGCACCGAGGGCCTGAGCCATCCCTGACGGGGGGGGGCAGACACCTGGGTTGTGTGGCATCCGAAATGGCACCTGGCACCACTGAGGGCTGTGGCCGGAGCTCGGGGGCTGGGGGCTGGTGGGGACAATGTGGGTCTCCTCTGAGGGCTGGCTGCCCTCTGGTGCCCTCAGGGGCAAGGGCCAAGCGGCTTAGTTGTCCGAGGGAGGGTTCGTGTCCCCGAAATGCAGGTGACTGCAGCCAACCTCTCTGTTGCATCCTGGGTAGGAACGTTTTGGGTTTTTCCTACACTAGACGGAAGACTTTAAGCCAATAATGTTTTTGCATTTTAAAATTAATTTTATTTAAAATATGGGACACTTCTGATGAAATTGTGGATGCATGGATTTTTTTTGTGGTTTGTCAACATCTGGTTTCTGCTGATTCAAGACTGAAGACAATCACTGAATGGTGGTTCAAACTCTCCCCGTTTTCTGCTTAGCAGCTCTGCCCAGGCTGTTCAGTAGTAATCCCCTCTTATAATAAGCAGCAAATTATTACATCCTACATTTTGTTCTGTAGAGCAATATTCTTCCCTTCTTCCAAAAAAAGAACTCAAATAAATTTCATGAGATAAACATCCCATGTCTTTACTGGCAGTGCAGGGCAGACACAGTGAGAAAACCAGATAAAGAGACAGTTCTGAGTTAGAGCAGAGGCACGTGAGACACCAGAGGTCTAGTGACGGTCATGTTTCGAGCATCTTCAGTATTCTGCATGGAAAGGGTAGTCCTTGTGAGTTTTGGACCTGAAAGAAATCAAAGAGGGAATGTTATTTTCATGGATGAAGAAGATGTTATATAGAGGTGTATTGGGTGCATGGAGGAGCTACCAAGGGAAGATCTGCATCATGTAATTACAGGAAGAATATGTGGAGATATGTGTCCTCATTTCTTTAATACAAAGATTAAGTGAACGTCTAGAACCCATTCTTTGTAATTCAAGTTACAGAGAGTTTCCTTGAAACTGAATTAAAAATGAAAATGTAGTTTGTTTACATTTTTGTTTTGCTTTTAAAATGAAAATATTAAACCCTCTCCTGAAAAAGTATTTTTGGGACAAACCAGTTGGAATTTGACTTGGCATGAGTTTTAATTAAACTGAATTTCACGCTACCTAGTAGCTGTGACACAAAATTTCTTGCAAAGAATATTGAAAATTTAAGAGTTGGAAGGAAACAAGCGGTGTCACTTACATGATCATTGCACAGATCCTCCAGTTTCTGTTAAAGCTGAGAAGGGCTGCCATCTCCTCTTTAGTCAATTCAAAGGCAAATACCCAAAAAGAGAAACAGCTGGAAATCACCTCTCTGAAAAATCAAACAGTGTGAAGAAGAACAAGATTAGAGAGCAGCTCCACAGTGGAGGGTCCATTTTCAGTCATGGACCACTGAATTAACAGATAGAGGAACAACTTCTTTTATGGACACAAGATCTATTTTATGAACATTGCTTATTCTATATAAGACTTTTCTGGAATGTTACTGTGTATGGGCTCCAAGCAAGCTGTGTCTGCTGATTCATGCACAAGCCACGGAATAGGAATCGTCATATAAGACCTGTTCATCTGTCCTTTCCAAAGGTAGGCCTCAACCCTCAGTAGAGTGTAGGTAAGCATAAAGAAAGAAAAAGCCCAGTCCTGTTGCCTGAGGAAGACTTGGGAAGGGTGAGAAAGGATCACTGCTTGCTCTGCAGCGGAAGGCATGCCATCCCTGAAGGGCAGCATCCAGGTCACTCCTAACGACTCACCTTGAAGTTCTCCACAATGCGCTGTGGTGTGACAGACTTGGGAATCGCAGTGACATTTCTCTGGATCTGGAAGCGAAGGAGAACCTGCAGGAACAGAAAACTGAGTCAGAGAGAGGACAGCTCCTGCTCTGGAGGAAGCAGAGCCTGTTCCAATATCTGTTTGCCATCAAGTGTGTTTTTCAGTAGAACTAAACCCCTCCTGTGGAGCTACAATTCAAATAATTCCTGTCCCTATGGCCTTGGTATCTCTTCCTGAAGGGCAAAGAGAGAGGTGGTAGAGACCCACTTGGAAGGCCTCCTTTCCCATCCAGCTTTGGGACAGTCAATTCTTTTTCTTCCCACCTGGACTCTCAGCAGTCTGTGCAAGGCTTTCATTCTCTGCAAGAGGACTTGAGAGGGGAAGTGACATCTGAAGATGGGTCAAGAATCTGTTTCTGGCTGAGGGCCAAAGAGATAGTAGTAGCATATCTTGCAGGTCATATAGTAAACAATCTACATTGTTAGGGAAAAATCAGAGGAGTGCCACAGTTCATAGGGAGTGGATGCAGGTTCTACCTGCTCTTCACATCTGTTTTCCTTAATGGCAGTGTTACTGGAAGGAGTAGCCACTGTTTGGCACCTACCTACCTGTGCTAGGGTTTTGTTGTGCTTGGCTGTGATCAATTTGATCTTGGGGTCATCCAGAAAGGAAGGATCCTCTGGCTTAGCCTTACACAGAAGAAAGAAGATCAGTGGTGAGGAACCTCTGTAGAAAGATCCAGCCTAGCAACAGGGATATGTATCTAGATAAATGATTAATGGTCCACTCATAGTCTCAAAAGTTTCAAGCATAATCTGTGCCAGCTCCCTTGCAAATTGCAAAACAATCTTACCATGGCCTGTCAGGAGAGCCAAGAGGCTGTCACAGCAATCCCTTTGGATTGACAGTACTTGATCAGCTTCTCCTGGGTGAGGTATGGATGACATATGATCTGCCAACACAAAGGCACAGTGGCTGATAGTGGCAGAACTGTTATAATACTGCCGCGCTCCGTGGGTTATCTCCTAATCTGATTAGAGGCTGCCTTTTGCCTTAATTTGCCAGTGGTAATATGCATCCTTAGTATTGAAGACATTTTTATACAAAGTGCTTATACAGTTTTTTCTGCGGTGGTTTCACAAAGCACATCTCTGCATTCTTTATTCTTCCAGAAAGAATGTTTCACAGGGAAATACTCCAACATTTGTAAACAACGTTTCAGCAAGGTGAGACAAAAAAGGAAGTATCCCAGTGCCTTGTGTACCCAGAAATATTCAGAGTGGGATTTAAGAGTACATGCTATATTCTACTTTGTTACCCCTTTTTCCATATCCTCATTCAACTGTAATGAGATCTTTATAATCCCTGAAAACTGTTCACCGGTGGTCACTTAGCAGCTTGCCTGGTTATTTGCAGGCTTATGCTTCAGTCCTGGTTTGTTCAGGATCCTTTCAATCTGCTTGTGGTTAAAGCTGGAGATTCCAATTGCTTTTACCAGACTAGCATCCACCAGCTCTTCCATAATCTAACACAAAGGGAGCAAAATCATCATCCGGTATGCAAGATAGGTCATGAAGATGATGTTCTTCCTCATGTGGCTTGTTTCCTGTCACAAGCAGCACAAAATAACTATTTAGAGTTGCAAAGTTCTCTGAGGGAAGAGCACATACTGGTACATTAGTGCCATCTCATCCAAGCCCAAATTCTCATTCCCTGAGTTTGTGGAAATTCACACCAAGTTGCGTAAGGAAAAGATCAACAACACTCAGTAACCCACTATTATGCAAGCAGTGGAGGGCAGTGCCCCACTCTGAAGGCAAGATCTCAACCTAAAATGTCTTTATTTCTGTAAAATGCATTTGAGCAATTCAAGAAGGGCACAAGAACTGTGGTGAAGACAATTGTACGGTTGTTATGGTCAAGCAAAGAACCTTGTCTAACCTCAGTCTGGGCTGCAGCTCCACTGAAAGTGATTGTGCAGCTGACTATGAGTCAGGCACTCATATAAAGGCACTTGGGGAATAGGAATAACAAGGTAATGACTAAGCATGTACATTATGAAAAGCTACTTTGTACTGCCTTATGTTCCTTCCAACTAATTTTGCATACATGAGACAACAGTTTTGTGACTGCTGAAGGTAATGGAAACATGGAAGAGACTGATGAGGACAGAGGGCATGACTCTTCCACTATGGCTGAACATACCTTCCGTGTCTGTAGAGTATCTGTGTTGCTGGGTATAGACATGCCTTTGTCATCTTTGGGAAACAGCTTGTCTCCTGCCTGTCAATGAGAGAGATAATGCTTGGAATAATCTCTGTTGGGACGCTAGCTATGTAAAAGAACCAAACAGGAATTTAAGGAGCTAAAGCTAATAGTGCACGAAAATCCTCAAGTAATTCTCATCATAACTATTAATTCTTCAGTTATTTCTTATTCTTAGTTCATGCAGGGTCATGGCATTTTTGCCAGCTACTATCCCAATGAAGAGAGTTATTTCTGCTAGACCCATTGAAGTGATGCTTCACAAAATGCATGCAGGAAAGTGATTTACTCAGAGAACAATATCCTGGAGTCTTACATGAGTTCACTTCATGTATTGTTCTGTTATGCACGTTTAGAAATAATAGCTTCTTCAGTTGTTTCTAAAAAGGTATATGGAGGATTGACTTTGATCCCGTGAATGTACACATTTATACTGGAGTACATCTGCTGAAAAAGGCACTGCTGACAGATTTCTCATGGGGATGCTCACTGTTTAAGTTGCTGTATTAGGAAAATTAGAGCAGCCTGCAACTAGAAAGTGTGGTCAAAGTGTTTTGAATGATTGGAATTTTCTAGATGCCACAATATTATGCAGTTTCACTTGACAACTTTGTCCACATAAAGCTAACTAAAATAATATTGAGAGAATGAAATGAAGTTGAGGAGCTCAAAAGCATTAGGGAGAATAGAGATTTTGATCTGGGTGTAGCAGAAAGGAAAGGCTAAGAGTATATGCATATATATACAAACTGACATAAATCCTTTGAAGTACATGTAGTCTGCAAAAGTTTGGTATCAAAACCCCTCATCTTTTGAAATCCAAGGTCTGTGAAACAACACTAAGACTCCTACAGTCAAGGTCAGCTCAATCTGGGCTCTATTAGGTACTCAGTGATTAAAGACAGAAATGGAAAATAGAAGCATTTTCTTTCACTCTGTGATTCTGTGACATGCAGAGGAAAGAATTTCTGTCAGGCAGCAAAGCGCAGGCCTCCTTCCTGCAAGGGGTAATTTTCAGATGAGCATGCTTTGGATTTGTGAAAGAAAGGGAAAGTGGCATAGCTTATGCTTGCAGCTGGGAGGCCTGATCTTGTGCTAGGTCTGCCTGGCTGGTATCAAAGGGCAGAGGATGCTGTGCAAGCAGCAGTCTCAGGGGCAGAGATCAAGCGCCTGGCTCACGTGGCCAGAGTAAAGCTGAATGAGCAGCACGGGAGCAGTGCTGGTACACACAGCAGACACATGGTCTTTCTGGACTGGAGAGCAGTAGTGCTGCAAGTGTTACTGGCAGTTTTGAGGAGCTCTCCCAGGAGGGAAAGCCAAGGGCATTGCTGTTACTGTACCTTGAACCCCAGAGGCCAGTGCATGAGGCAGAGATCCAGGTAATCCAGCTTCAGGGCAGAAAGAGTCTTCTGGCGTACTCCCTTCACCAGAGTTTTTTCATGAAATGTGCACCATAGCTAGAGACAAAAAGCCAATGCACACCATGACCTCCTGGGTTAAAGCTTTTGTAATCTTTCTGTCCTGTTCTTGAGAGGAGAGTACCTGTCTCCTTTGGAAGGCGATGTGGAATGCGGCCATCCTAGTGCTCTTCAGATGGGGCTTGCTCTGCGAGCAGGACTGGCCTGTGACACTGAAGGCAGTATGTGCAGCAGCAGTACATGTGATCACACAGATCTGTAGTAAAAACTCCTATTGCAAGGTCAGACTTGTGTAGAAGAGGATGGCTTAGCTCAACAAAGCTTTCTGTCAGGTTTGACCATTTGTACATTTCCTGTAAAAAATTTATCAGATGAAGCCAAAAAAATATAAGATGAGCCACAGAGAAGTGGTTGGCACCAACCTTTACCAGGGTAAGAAGTAACTTCAGAATCCAGCTAAATACCCTGTTTTTCTTAGTAACGAAGAGAAAGAGAACCATCAGCCATCTGTGACACCAAGCGATCTCAGACCTCTGCATCACTGTTTTCTGCCTTGCTTGGTGCCACCTGGCCCACTCTACCTTCTCCTGCTTTGTTCTTTTGCACCAGTTGGTCTGCAGATGGCCCCTCCTCATCCATCCCTCAGCACTTCTGGGTCTCCTCAGCAGAGTGCCACACCACAGCAGGCTGCCGGCAGAGCGTATCCTTCCGAAGTCTCCATACAGAATGGGATGAAGCAGTAAGCTTGTATCAGGAGTGCCTTGAATGATGTTACAAATTGCTTTATCTTACAGCATAAAGTTTGTCTCCAGTACTTAAGCTTCCTACTATGAAAATACTATAGGCAAAGCATTCCCCTACCAGGCTGGAAGATCATCAGATCCTTACCTTACTGATGATGAAGAGGTCCTCTCATTTCACGATGCCTTCCTTGATTTTCTGCTGGATCCCTTCCCCAACTTCCTTCTCATTCTGGTATATGTAGGCACAATCAAAGTGGGAGTACCCAGCATCGATGGCAGCCATCACTGCAGCTGTTACTTGCCCAGCTGGAGACTAAAAATAACGCATAAATCTTAAGAATCTCAAATCAGTACATGTTAAATACCTGTATCCTAGCAAAATAAAAATAGGAAAACCTCCTTACTGAAAGCAATCCCTCCACCCCCCTGGCTGTGGGTTTTTATTCTTCACAAGAACAGTATTTCTTGCAGTCATAAACATGGGCTCCAGGGCTTGAGGCCGGGCTCCAGGGCTTGAAGCCAGTATCCAGCCATTTCTCCGTAGCCCCACTCCCATGCAGGTTCAGCCCAACAGCCAGGTAGAGCAGAGCCCCAGACACTGGGACAGCTCTCCAGAGCTGGACCAGGGGGATCAGAGTTTTGTGCCAGGGAGCTCTGCAATACTGGTGCTTTTCTCTGCAGCTGTTACCTGCCAGGTGCCCAGCCCCACGAGGGGCATCTTCGCCCCGGTGCTCAGCTGCATGTAGGTCCCCATGGCCCTGCATGCCATCTGGGCAGCCCCACTGCAGCGGCCTTTTGCTGGGCTGGTTTAATAGTGACTGGTTGCTGGCCAGGGCAGGGGAAGATGGTGGAGCAGCACCGGTGCTCTGGATCCTCCCATATCCAGCAAACAAGGCTGTGGCTTTTTCTCTGTAAACTCAACTCACACAGGTTAATGTGAAAGCTGAAATCAATTAAAAATCATGGAGGTGATCATCCCCCTGGGGCATGCAGTGGTGTGCCCTGCAGACCTCTTCTCCCGCTGAAGTTCCTTATCAAAAGATAAGGACTGAGGGCAGCTGTGCCCTAATCTGGCTTGTGCTTGTGCAGGGTTCAGCTCCTGCAGCACCCTGTCCCCGTGCCATGGGTTGTTCATACATATCTTGCTTGTGATACGCGCTGGGGTGTTGCAACACCCAGCTGCAGTTCACCCCATCGGTGACCAGCC